GTATATAAGTGACCTTACCTCATAAGATCTGAGACCTGAGGAGTTATGAGTGCAGTCAGCTTCCTTGTTGTTCTGTACTGTTGCAAAGATGAACCAAGTACCAGTGCTCCTTTCACATAGGAGTCATTTGTGGCTAGAGTCACAAAAGACTGGTCTGGAAGAAATGAACTTGGTCAAGTTAGCATGATCCACTACTTTATTCTGAGACATATACTAGAAACCTAGTACTGCTAGGTAATCATGCTGTGAGACCTCAAAGATGAGCTTTTAACTCTGCATATTGGACCTACCTACATGGCCGAATGAAGCAGATTATACTTGCATAGCTAAACTTGCTAGTAGTAATTTCACACAAGGCAAAAATGCAGTAAAAAAAAAAAAAAGAATAAAGACTGGTGAAAGAGAAAACCAGGTCCTGTTCACCCACAGGTTAAGTCAGTCATGCCAAATGTTAGGAGACAAACCAAAAAGTCTAAAGAGCCTTATTTTGGCCATTAATACACTATTTTTAAGCTAAAAGTATTGGGAGTGAGTGAGCTTGCATTTGGTCTAGAGTTAGTACAGTTTCGTAGAGTTACTCTAGGTTCAGTTCTGAACCCTGAAGCAAGGGTGGTGTAAAACATACATTTAATTTTCAAGTGAAAGTAAGCATTGAATTAGATCTTGGACAACAGTATTAAGTTTTGCTAGCTCAGGATTTTGCAGATGAGTTGTTCTGCAACCCATGGTTGCAGCTCTAACACAAGAATGCAAGATTTAAAAGGGAAGTAACCAGTAATACAAAAAGCAATTTAAGACTTGCAGCAACAGTTTTTGCTCTTCAAGCAAAGACTAAGGTTGGACTGTTACTATAATCTTCTGCTCCAGCTGTATCTTAAAAGTAGATTAAGATAGATCACTTTGCCATATACTGCTTATTGAGGCCATATAATACCAGCTTTGCATTCTTTTGATTGTCACGTTTTAAGCTGCCAGGGTGGGACTGACAAAAGCAAACAAGTAACTTCTAAACACCTTCAGTTCACAGTTAAGTATGGTCATGTAGACTGTTAGCTATCATCACCTAGTACTCCTTTCCTATGCGCTTTATAAAGATGCCTGCTCTTTTCTACCAAACCATTTTTGACACCATCAACAAAAGTTTCTTCCTAAGAATGTCAAGAGTAGATTTTCACATTCAAAGTTATTTTAGCAACTCTGATTTCTTTTCTTTATGAAGTTGTTAACGAGGTTAGATCAGGATCGAGAGTGAGGGTTCTGGGCACTTAGAGGCTTACTATCAAGCCTAGTAGTTAAGATTAAAATAGCGACTGCTTTACTTTCAGAGATTGTTGTTTGGTACAACTCCTCAGCCCGCGAGACAGGCATCATCAATATCTTTTTAACTTAATACCATCTTAGCAGTTGACGACAGAAAGTCACGTACCGTAATTGTCTATAAGCTCTGCAAACCTGGTTTGCAAGCTCTACAGACCAGCTACAAAACCTTCTATTCTGCTTAGCAGCAAAACCAGCTAGTCCCAAGGGATTTAGATTATAGTGGTCAATTACAAAGTTCAAAAAAGCTTCTACAATGCCAGGAATAAAGATTTTTTTTTTTCCCCCCCAATTCACTTTAGCTACCAATTTGTAACAGTTCATACAATTCAGCAAATCTACAGAACAATTTTGTACTTCTTTAAAGCTTTATAAATGGCAAGTATGTAGCATTTTAAGTGGCATGAACATCCTCCTAATAGCACAGCATTTTTCAGTACTTAATATACATGTTACTCCTCAGCTACTCAATAAATAGAAGTCTGCCACTCTATGCTGACAGACAGCTCACTAAAAATGCAGCACAGACAAGTGGAATTGCACCCGACATTCATCTGAATGTTGGGTTTTGTTTTTTTTTTTTCCAGCAGTGCAAGATTAATTCTTAAAGTGACCTTGCCACAGAAAGGCTAGGCTCTTCCACTGAGCTGGTAGCACATGCACTTCAACCTGCCCCCTCATCTTACTGAAACTGAGTATTCACACACAGAGGGCTTAGAGAAATAAAGTCAATGTAATGATGGAGTAAAGGCCAAGCAGCCCCCTATTACATCCCAACAGCAGCTGGAAACTTTATGACCACTTGACAGGATACTGGCAACTTGTAGAGCACCTAAGTCAGTACAGCTTTCCAAAGTTTGGAATAAACTATGTTCTATTTCGTACCTTCACTAAGGTACATTCACAAGTACATTGAGACACATTATGTATGAGTCCACACTGCAGGGTGGGCAAGACCAGTTGCTGCTTAATACAGAAACTACATCTGCAGAGACTAGTCCATTCCGCCCAAACCACACGCATTTCTCTTGTGTGGGTCTCCCTTCCCATCCTCTCCCCATTCTCTGTTAACATTTCCTCCACAGCAGGTTATGTTCACACAGCAGCTGCTGTTATGCCTGAAACGTACTGAACATTAGTGATCGTGTGGCTGTAAAACCACAGCGGCACAGCTTCGTAAGTGATTTATCCAGGCAAAACAGAGCTACTTCAGAGACGTGGCTGCCCAGTGGGCAGGCTGCAGTATCCGTAGGCAGGCATCTTCGCACTCACCCTTCACACCTAAGAGCATCCTGGAAGTCAGAGCGACTCGGAGCAAAGATGCTTTCGCCTGACAGTGTGCAGGAGGGGACTAGAGTGTTTGCCCCAGACGTTTTAAAACTTCCCCCAGAAGCACATTGATAGGCGTAGCCAGAGTTCACAGGTGTTTGTCTATTTCCCTGCTCGGTACTAGTACAGCTGATTTTTGGTTGGTTTGTTTTGAGCAGCAGATGCCTGAAGAGACAGGAGCATCTAATCAAGACGTGCATTGGGAGGCAGAGCACCAGACTTCCCTCAACCTTCCTGATCTGAAAGTGAAACCGGCCCTGCTGATAGTCTCAGGTAAGGTAAGAACTGGGGGGGGTGGGGGGGAAATCTGGAAGAAACAAGCCAGGCATAGTCGGAGGGGCGATAAGGAATTGCTCACGGTGAAGTATCAAAACGCACGGCAGTCACACACGCTCTTTAGCCTTTCGAGAGAGGGCGAGGTTTCCTCCTGTGAGCCGCCGCCACCGCCCTATAGTGGCCTCTCCGGACCCCCCTGCCCTCCGCCACGCTGGCCACACCCCCCCCCG